TATATTAGGTTACACGTTACCTGAGAATCACATTAGTGATCTACTTGTATTTTAAACACAATGGGACGTGGTACTGCTGACGATATCTCATTAAGGAATCCATAGTTAAGAAGCACGTGCGTTAATATATAATATGACATCATTGGGAGTTGGTCCTACTGGTATCGCTCTCGCAGATATGATGAACAACATTCAAGAATGGCATTGACATCGCGTGGGTGGGTGATTGCCATACAGTGTCGTCTGTGGGTTGACTTCGGGAGATAGTGATCATGTGTATATTTGAAGGGTTACAGGCAAGGAAGGCCCTTAGGGGATTGTGGTTATATTTCACTCTTTCTAGTTTTTTTATATAGTGTATACTATATTTCGTTTGTCTAATAACAGGAAGCAACGGAAACGTGCTCAGTCTCAGATCTGGTGGCAGTCTTCGAGGCAAAACTAGCCTATCAGGACACATTTAATGTCTTCATTCTCGAGAGCAAGGGAACGATACCGCAAGGCCGGAGTCCCTTGCCGGCTACACCTCTGGTGACCGCAACAACTTCTACTAGTGGAGCTGAAACGCATATCCACACCCCGGAATCCCAAACTGTTGGAGACATGGCTGCTAGGACCCAGCCGACATGTGCTCGTCGCTATAGAGTCCAGCGGACGGAACAGTCGTTAGCTTCCACCAATTACCTCTCTCCTGCCCTACGTTACATGCAACGGGCCTCAGCACTCAGCTGCAATCTTATCAGCCCTTTACAATTCGAGGTTTCTGACGGGAGCACACGCAAGTCCGAGACGAGTCTGTTAGCACGCGACAAAAGACTGAAGACAGCATCAAGGAGGCAGGCGCAAACGCGAAGATTGAGAAGGCAGTCCGTTGTCAGGAGACCACGACTAGGGCTGACGGAAGGTCAGCTGCTGGTGTGTTCTTCTGATGTGGCTCAGCGTGGGGGTAAAAATAAGGTAATGCCTATATTTCCATCATATAAAGTGGATGTATTCACAACAATGGCATGCTTTAAGTTTTGTTCTTTTACTATGATGACTGAGCTTTTTTCCCGTTTTTTTTTATGTAGCCGAGTCGACTGAGCTCTCCTAGAGAGGATTGCAAACCTATTAGCCTGGTTAGACGGAAGTTGGACCAATCAAAAATGACCTACTCCGAGAAGCTTGAGGTCACTCCATTCTTACCTCTGTTGACGGTTTCTGCTTTATCCACTCCACCGCCGCCGCCAGCTTCTACCGCCGCTGGGAAGCAGATCGACGAAGAGTATCGATCGGAACATGCACTCACGCCAGACACCCTCCAGCGCATATTTCGGTCCACACGAGAGTTCTACTACAAGTACACACCCTCGCCCGCACAGCTGACGAAATCTCTAGGGACCAGTGATATTGAGCATCAAATAGAGCCTTCAAGACTATCAAAGAACACCCCGTCTGGTGAGGAGCCAATCAGTATTCTCCCACAAAACGCGACGCGTAAGTCAGGTTCACTTCAGTAGGTACAATAAATTAGCTATAAACACATGCAGTCAGGTCTGCTCCATGTTGCGAAAGAGCGAAGCCATCTGAGGTCCTGAGAAAACAAGCACATTTGTCTGACGTCTCGAATTCATCGTTCACCATATAATCGAAAACAAGAATAGACGACAAAAAGGATAGACAGATGTTCAGCGATTATATAAACGCTGTAATTAATTGACCAATTTTATTCCCCATGTCATGTGCTGGACTGACAATGAATGACCAAAGCGATCGTTTGCCAGCACGACTTTTTAGAATTTATTTATTGGGGTTAGAAAACTGATGGAAGCTTGCTGATGCGTTGGCCGACTTCATGTAACCAGTCGAAAAATTCACATAGTCGCTGTTGGTAGTAAGTATGGCGGTCAGAGCTTCACAGGTTTCCTATTTAGTATCACCTCACAGAGTAGTGGTTATCCATGTGCCCCTCAGACAGACTTAGCAATTTGTTTATCGGGTGCCTTCCGCCACTAAATAGACATATGGTTGTTTTTGGAGCCTCCCCCCCTCCTGTAGAAACATTGCCACTGTGAGTCTACTTTATTTATTTCGGTCTATGATGCTGGGCCCTATTGTGGATCAGGTCATTTAACCTTTATCTTAAAGATAGAGACTAAATAGTTCTATATAAGATCCTGCTGGTTGTGATCTTAAGTGACAAGTTTTCAACGTCTATTTAATGAGCACATGCATTAATGGTCATGGCTAGCATATAATTTAAACGTAAGACACTAAAATGCCTGATGTTAGGAGCCTACAGGAACTTCAGAAAAGAAAGCGGTAGTTGGGGAAATACGGTGGCGTATTTTCAAAGAAATCAAGCACGGTCAGTATGTCCGTGTTTGATCATATACCTTTTTGACTGCCCAATAGCACGCATTATGGTAGGCAAATAAGCGTGCAAAATAATCAGGCCGGCATGAGAGAGGGAGTGTCTAGACGTATTAAAACAATGAAAAGAAAGTTGGGCCAGTTTTCCGCAGGGGCAGAGCAAGGGTTTTGATAGGTCTTTTTGGTGTTCCAAATTTTTTATGCGGCATGCATTAGGTTCCATTCTATGACCAGAGAGCTGAGGGGTTTGAGTGAACACATTTTCTGTACATAAGACCCGGTTGACTAGTCGTCTGAACTTGACATACATCACTGTCCAGGTCTGATCGTTAACGATTAAAAAATGTGCCTTTTTCCACCTCGACTCCTGAAATGGACATTGTCCGAGAACTGGGGTACGCTTCTGTTCATTATAATTCAGAAAATCAAGAGGGCCTTTGAAACTGACTTTACCAATAATTATCAAACACATATATAATACCTTGCTGAACTTAGATCCGGAACCCGACGGAAAATTAGAAGCGGTGACAGCTAACGGAGACCACGAACTGGCTCATAAGGACCACGGCGGACTGATCGATCCAACAAATAGGACGAATTCATCAAACAGAGACGTGCAGTCTGAGGATCTGGACATCGATCGGGATTTAACTTTGCTTCCGCCTGCGCTGACCTTCCAGACGAGTGTTCATTGAGTCTGTCGCCTTAGTTTTGCCTTAGCCCATCGAAGGAACAAAAGAACGTCCCAAACGTTCAATTCACACTCAAACAACTTCTGCATCCTGCACCTTTCACCTGTGCGATAGTTAATTCATAAACGCCAGATACAGTCACTGTATTTAAAGCAGGTGGATCCAGCTATCTGTTCATAGAACACTTTTTTGCCAAAGATGCTCAACTTTCTATGTTATCTCCATTTCCAATGGACGTGTTTGATAAATGAAAGATATTCTCTTGAAATCGAGCCTTTCTTTTTCTCACTGAGGGAGAGGGACAAGATGGATGGTTTTGGTGAGGGGAATTATCGGTTAGTAGGAGGAGGACACTATTTCGGTTGTCTTTATGGGCGACTATTATTATAAGGATGACGACTTTTTTAATTGGACGATGCCAGAGACAACTGAAGCAAATGGAAGTTATTATTTTTTGGGAGGAATAAGCCAATGTTGGCGCTGGTTCTATGAGTTTTTTATCCCTACGGGTGTAGTTTTATTCATATATTGGTGTATTTGACGAGTCCTCGAAATAAAGTTTACTTCGCGAGTTGTCCATCTTCGCACGCTATTTTAGCAATACCACACTCAGTTTAATTTTTGAGGTATTTGAATATAAGCGAAACTTAATAACACTACCCAACAGTGTCCGTTTGGTAAGCAACATGTTTTCTTTGTATTTATGGCCTTTTATTATTTTATCAAAAAAGTATAATTTCTCCCTTGATTTAAAATGATGTGAGGCCCTAAATATCTAAATAATGTCTAATAGTGGGAAAGGGGCAGGTTATGGGAAGATGAAAAACTGGAACTGCCTGTTTAAATTGCGTCCATTGCCCATAAGTATATTTCGCCGAGTGGATGTTAACACCCGCTCGGCGAAATACAATATCTTTGGAGGTCCCATTTTTCTGGGCAGCTTAAATTTAAGCTGGACGAGCTCTTACTAACAAACCTGAAAGTAAGTTGCGATACCAGCATCCATTCAGATAACATCTCCGAAGGTGAACCGAGAGATGAGGTGTCCTAATTTTGCTTTTGTAAATCTTAGTCAACTTCCATAGATTGTTTATGGCATGCAAATGCAAACATTCGGAATTGATATGGAGGAAGCACAATGATGTCCAAATAGGACATTAAGTCTTAAATTACCTCGGTGGCTTTAATTATCGTGTAACTGATTTGGATGTAGCTAGCGTTGCACCCTCAGACCTTGACGGGGAAAACGGTTCCTTTAAACCGCTGCACGATCCAGTGGCATGGGAATACTACAGAAATCAATTTTTTTCTACATCATTAATTGGATAGAACATAATAAGTATCAAAAAGCTGTTATAAACCGAAATTTGCGTCTCCTGAGTAGCGCAAATAGCCTGATTTCGAGTATAAAAGTGGTATGTATATACGTAATGGGGATTTAATTTGTATTGTTTCGGTAAGCTGTACCAGCTGAGTAGTCTCCTCACTGATGGAGGGGGGAGGTACGCTTAGTAATCTTACGAGATCAGGGGCTGTGTACGCATATAACTAGGGGAAATTACTAAGCGTCAATCCTAGATCTGCCTGCTGATTTTCCAAGAATATGCGCTTTTAATTTAGGATTATGATGTCATTGGACCAGCTGCAGAGTTTATGGCTTGCAGACTGCAACCAGTTAATACTTCGAAAGTTCTGGTAAGGGACTGTTATTATCGGGCTCGATACGTCATATAGCTCCAATGTCGTAACCAGCCAATACATATGAATAACTGCTCTGAATGTCAATAAATCGGTTCCACACTTCCTTGTAAGAAGGAAAGTCCAATTTCCGCAGCATTCTATCTCCCTTCGAATATGAGCCTTTTGGTTGTCTATGACCTCTGAAGCAGTGTTCCATAAAACCTGGTCAGATGTCAACTGGAGCGTAGTAACCGAAATAAGCCAGCTGTAACTTTAGTGAATTTTTACTAGTGCAGTAATGAAAGCTCCAGGGTAAAGGAATTTGAACACAGCTTCTTTTATGAACCGCAGCGCGGTAAATTCCATAATAAGGAATGGTTTTGGTAGCACTTTTTTTTGACGGAAGCTTGCTACCAATCTACCATCATGAAAAAATTGCAGGGCAAGGAACCTACAATTCAGACTATTGTGCAATTGGGCCACTTTGCAAGCCATTAGAACAACGAACCTGTAACCTATCTAACGAAGCCCTATTTGCAGTCTGAAACTTTGTACAAAATTCTGCTCTAATTACTGTAAAGGTAGTTATTTAGGTATCACCTCTATTGGTGAACCCATTGAGCTGCCACCACCATACTGATAGAATTTGCTCTCAAGTTAACAATAATTCTTAAGGCAGAACTTAAGCATGTCCAAACGAAGGGTTTCGGAATAACGATAGGGTTCTATTTTAAGTGTGCAGCTACGCGCTCTATTGTAAAGTCATGATGTATGAGGGAAACAGGACAACTAAGCCTAACAATAGAATACAGTCAGAAGGACTTAATTCCAGGCCCCAGGTTTTTTCTGGGACTCGTATGTCGGTAGTCTAAACGCCCTTCTAATCACTTGGCCAGTGATCTAGGGAATGTCCTTACGATTTTCAATAGCTCATTCGCTTTCTGCGATTCCCAGTGTTTCAGCAGTACCCGTTCATAGGAATTTAGAGTTTATAGATGAACTCACCAGGAAGGCAGTACCTAAGCACACTTAATAAGGTTTATTTGTAAAGCGCATCTTCGGCGCCGTCAAAAAATTGGGACAATGTGCGCAGATAAGATACCCAAATTTATAATAATGGAAGCAGAAATTGTCCTTTTAGGGCAATATTTAGCGATACTTTGAAATAAATTGTGAACGTGGGGCCTCGATATCTCAGAAACCA